TCTATCAATGTGATGAACAAATGCTAGGGCGAAAGAGGAGCAACCGAGGGAAGTTTTATTTGCAGTGAAAGACTCGTTCTTGCCATTTGGGCAAGGAGCCTTCATCTCAAAATTGTCTTAAGAAGTAGCAAAGGAAAGTTTGTAGAAACTGAATTTGAGATTATCTTAAGGAAATCCTCAATGCAGCTGAAAGAGGGCTAAAAGGTAAGAAATAATGAAGCAGTGCTTAAAGCAAGTCTAACTTTCTACTCAACTTCCATATTTTACCACCTAGCGTCTACTAAAATCTACTAGCCCCTACTCTACTGTGCGGGCATAACCTACAACTACTATAAGCAAGTGAATGTGCAGCTCTGTTTTATAACATACGATTACTAAGAATAATTTTGCACTAATTCTGCAAATGATTACAATTTCTAAAAGAATTTGTTAATACCTTTGTCGCAACGTTCTCCCATATAACCCGGAGGACACTTTTTAGTGCAATCTCCTGTGACAACGTCGCAGCGTAATCCATCAGTACATTGGCATTTTTTGGCACAACTTGGCCCATAGAAACCGATAGGACAACGTCGTTTGCACAGAGGACCATAGAATCCGGCACGACAAATGCATTTTCCTGTCTGCAAGAGACAAATAAATTATGTTTTGTTTCACGAGTGAAATATTTCGAAAAAAAAGTTCAAAACCATTGCTTAGCCAATTTGAGGAGTCTTGTCCTACTTCCTTTGTCACCTCCACAGACAAGTATTCAATTAAAATCTCCTTGTAAGCTCAAAGATCTATGTTTGCTCTACCTTGGGACCTAAGTCATACAAAACGATTATGATATAAACATCCCAAAACTCCCTAAAACTTTTTTAGGTTGCCCTCAATTCTTTCAACATTCTGAGTTATTGTGTGCTTATCCTCACGCTTCTGCTAGAGATGTCAGGACGCGTCTATCTCCATTAAACCTTAGAAAATAACCCATAGTTTCCATTGACGATGCAATAACCCTTGAAATTGATAG